TCCAAACAAAAAGGAAAGTCCACTAATGTCACTTAAATAAAAATATCTTATAACCCTCTTTATTTTTTCATCAAGTTTTTTTGTTAATATAAATAAAAGAATTTTGTAACAAACACTCAGGGAACTTACCCTCACAAGCAAGTTTCCAAAAAGTAAGAGGAAAGTGGTATACACTTATGGACCCCTACTCGACTGCCTCGACTACAACACTCATGCATAATAAAAATCCATGTATCATACCTTGTAGTAGGTCAAGCTTCTACAATAAGATTCCAAGCCGATTAGTGACGAAATCCGTAGTGGAAAATGTATGAATCACCTTAGTAGTGAGTTTGGACGATTACCTTCTCAGACTATGTCAAGAACTACTTAATATGTTTGGTGTAAGGCGTGGCCTATCCAAGGTGAAGACCTCTTTAAGCGACTGAGACATGGGTGGTGTATGACTTGGGTTAGGCGATAGCATCTCTAACTCCATCCATTGGCTATTTCAACCCCATTTAGTCACTCGGCTTTAGAACATCATCCAAAATCACCACTCATCTCAATATTGTTTTCATTTTTATAACTCTATTCACAGTTGCTTTTCGAAGAGATGAGAGAATAATAAATCTTAAATATGAATGATAAAAATATTTCAAATTTAATCTCTTAGAGGGTCGACTAAACTTGGACGACGACCAATCAAACATGGAAGACTGACCTAGCCTGTATGACCATCCTAGAGGGACGATCAACCTAGCATGTGCGCTGGGCCTAGCCTGGAAGACCAACCCAACTTAACTGTTGACCAAGCTAATCCTGCTAATCAGAAGTTGACAGAGGTTAGCTGGACAACAAGCTTAAACGTATAAAATACCAGAAATATCATAGTATGAATACTTTTAAAATAAGGGGAAAATGTGATATCAAATAGGAGAATCATTTTATAAACTCACCCCCTACATTTTATTCATTAGGTGTGATTCACAGAAAAATCAGGATTCACCAATATGCCACCTTAACTATGTATAAAAAGTTGTATTTTGAATTTTTAAAAGTCAAGATAGTGATATTCTTTTATGTGATATAAGAGATTTGGATTGATCGGGTTTTTTACTATGACAGTTGGATTACATCAGGGATCAACTCTGAGCCCATATGTTTTTTGCTTTTGTTATAGATGGTCTTACTGGACATTTACATAAGGATGTACCTTGGTGTATGTGTTTTCCAGATGATATCCTTATTGTAGATAAGACTAGAGAAAGAGTTAAAGAAAAACTTGAATTATGGAGGTCTACATTGGAGTTAAAAGGCCTTCTTTCGAGTAGATCTAAAACTGAATACATGGAATATATCTTTAGTAGTTGTAGCTAAGGTTGCAGAGTTGTAACTATGAGTTATCTAATCATTAAGAATATATTGTATTAAATATCTTGGGTCTATTGTTTAAAGTTATGGTGATATAGATAAGGATGTTATTGGTAGAAATCATGTTGATTGGTAGAAGTGGAGGAATGCATAGAGCCTATTTTGTGATAGAAAAGTACCGCTTAGAGTTAAAGAAAAATTTTATAAGATGCTGGCGAGAGCTACAATGCTTTACGACACAAAATGTTGGCCTATGGAAGAGAAGCATAAAACTAAATTTAGTGTTGTTGAGATGAATACGCTTAGGTGGATGAGTGGGTTGACACATAGAGACAAAATATGAAATGAACCTATCTGTGAAAGAGTTGATATAGTTCTAGTGACAGACAAGATTAGAGAGAGTCATCTTAGATGGGTTGTTTGTATTAAACGTCGACCAACGGATGATCCGGTTTGGAGAGTAGATGTTTTAAATTTGACTTATGTTAAGGAGGGCAGAGGTAAACCTAAAAAGACTTGGCAAGTTGAACTTAATCTGTCAAATTTAAATGAAAATATAACACTCAATAAGACACAACGGAGACGAAGGATTCATGTAGCCGATCCCACATAGTAGGAGAAAAGCTTGCTGTTGTTGTTGTATTTAAAAGATTTGGATGGTGTAAATATAAAAAGAAAAGCTTAGATCTTAAATCTATTAATGCATAGGAATTGGGTGGTATGTATGTAAATGACCATTCTTGAAAATATCTAGTTAACAAATATTGATTAATACAATTATTAATTGCAATTTCAAACAATCCGTTAGATGTAGGGCTGTCAAAGCAGCTCGTGTTCGACTCGTTAAGAAGCTCGTCTTTGGCTCGTTCACTAAGTTAACGAGCCGAACACGAACAAAAATTTTTTCGTTCGTGTTCGGCTTGTTTTGGGTCGAAATACTACTCATCAATTATATACATATATATATATATATATATATTTATTTATTTATTTATTTTTATATTGATGAGTAAAAAAATTAATTGACTGAAAATCTACAAAGATTTATAATAAATTAAAAGTATTAATTTTAAAAATATAATAAAAATTATTAAATTAGATTTAAATGATATTTTAATATAAGTAATAATTTTTAAATATTGTCCCAATCCTTAACATCTTTTGGCTACATGATTAGGGTTGTCAAAACGGCTCTTTGTTCGTGAATAGTTCGTGTTTATCTCGCTAAGCAAACGAACTCATAAACAGCTCGTGTTCGGCTCGCTAAGCAAAAGAGCCGAACACAAACACACTTTTTGAGCTTGAAATATAAACGAGCTGTCTAGCTCGCTCGTGTTCGACTCATTTACACCCCTAGCTAGATGAGCCAATGGGGCTCTTATATTTGAAGATATATGACTAGCCAAAAGTGGAAATAAACAATAACTATAAATTTCTTATATTTATTCTCACCTAAAAAAGTTATGAGTTCTCAAAAGGAAACCATTGAAAATCTTGAAGATAATTATTTCCCTACCAAAAAAAGTAAAAGTCCATAAAAAGATAAAGCATTCAAAATCAAAATATAGAAATATCAAAGTTTGAAAGTTATAAGTGCACATTATTAATTATTGGAAGATTTACATTCCTACCACTAAATTCTTATTTATTTACCTGTATATGAAAAGTTTTATTACATTTTTTGAAGTTAAAAGGTGCTATTTTTCACATGACAGGAAAGATTTGGGTCGTTTATATGTAAAAAATAGAGTATAGATGTTAGATATATAAGGCATAAAAATTGGGTGGTATGCATGTAAATGCCCCTAAATTATTTTCAATATTTTGCAAGAAATGCTACATTAATATGTATGTTTAATTTAAAAAAAACTAGTTTTAATTTTCAATAATTCAAAATATTTTTCTTTTATGGTTTTTAAAAGTCAATGGGAAATAAGTTTTTTATTTTATTTGATTACACTTTTAATATCCTTAGTATTATCTTGATCGGTTTGTAATTCAAAAAATATTAATATTGCTTTAAAATAAGATCATTCTGAAGGTATTTAATTGCTAAAAATATTAAAAAGCATAAACTAAAGTTAAGAAAAATTTACAAAAAAAAAATATTAATATTATGTAACATATCTAACACCAAATCTTTCATATTTATATTCATAACGCTTTAGTGTCTTCATTTTTATATGAAAATGTGTACTTCATTTCTTAAAAGTAAATAATAGTTGTATTTGTGGTTTGATATTAAAGATTTGAGTATTAAATATGTAATTATATAAAAGCCTAGTTGTTAGATATGCAAATATATAAGAATGGGGTATTAAGTTCACTTTCTATTGAGCCTACTCCTTTTTACCTTCTTCGACCGGGACGACATGACACACAATGGATCCAATATAAAGGAGAACAAATTGATCAGATGCCCCATTCTCAACAGCCTTTGTTGCATCATTACATACAGTAGATTTCCTATCCTTAGACAACCCATGGCTTTTCTTCTCTGTGATAGGTTTTGTTCCCATCAGAAATCTAATGAAATTGTCTGTCTTTCTATACACGCAATTTTGATAAGAAGAGGAGTATAGCCAGCTCGTCTCTGCAATACTGTATAGATATGTACCACATCTAATTGACTGCCACTTAAAGATCGAGGGTCCATTTGGCATAGCTTTTTCGCTACGGTGCTGTTCGAACCACGTTGAAATGAGCATTTGGCACGCTCAATTAACAACATTTACCCTAAACGTGATCACTAAGAGCAACATTTTGGGACCTATATATTATGACAGTGTCTTGCGGTAGAAGGTGTGGTTCAAGCTCCTTTGCCCTTCAAGCCCCTAGGTTTTTTTCTCATTGTCTGTTCCGAGGTCATTTCTTTACGCCCTCGTTGCAATCTCGCATCCAACGCTCTTAAACTAAGGTAAGCTATTTCAAACATTGTTTTGAGTTGTTTCTATTGTAGGAGTTGTTTGACTTGTCGTTGCTTTTCATTACTTTCATCCCTTATTGTTCTGGTTTGTTGCAGTTGCCAGAGTTATTTAAGCAATTATAATTTAATTGACTTTATTCTCATCTCTCATTTCTATGGTGTTGTTTCAGTTACCGGATTTGTTTGGGTTACGGTTGCTTGGCATTAATTTCGTCCTCATTTTGAGTTATTTCGGTCGTCAAAGATGTTTGGCTTGCCAGATTTTGGTAAAATTATTGCGTCCGCCCACCGCACGTAGAGATGCGTGCGGGGGGCCAATAAAAACTCTTCCTTTACCAAAAAAGTGTATGTCAGTTGGCCCATTTTTAAATTTACGATTTTTTTTAAAAAAATTTCATTAGACGGCGCACGCGAGATGCATTCGCCGTCTGCACGCAAGAATCCCTCCTGTCTACAGAGTCAGAACTTCCTTCCCACTACCATTTCTCAATTTATAGACGTTAAAAAATATTTAATGGTTTTGAGATTATCTCTGGAGTGTTAATTATATTTCAGCTCTGGAAATTTGTCAATAGTTCTCATTACTAAATTTTTTTGCCATTATTTTTTTATCATTTAGCTAGTCATTTGTGGATGCTAAAATAAATTTTGTGAAGCTGCATATTCATGGCTGTCATTTGTTGCAAGCTGACCTTCAAGTACTTGTGCTTTTTAGCAGATTGAAGCATGCGCATTTAGCACCATTTGGTGTAGGTTTGCTTGAGGCTTATAAAAATCTTCATCTTCTAATGAGAAAGCGGAGGTACGTATGTCTAAAATGAACACTTAATTTGGTTGTGCAAAATGAAAAAAAGATTTTACTTGATTAAGGAAAAGAAGATTTACATACATGGCACTTAATTCTGATGCGTTTACACATGTAACATATGAACTTTAGTTTATATATATATGCCACCTTACCTATGCATGAGAAGATATATTTCACCTTTTAAAATTTAAAATAGTGGTATTTTTTGGTGATAAGAAATATTTGGGTGGTATAAATGCAAAATGTAAAGTTTAGATCTTAAATATGTAAATACATAGGATATGAATGGAATGTTATGTAAATGCCCCCAAGAGAAAAAGCCTCAAGGTCTACCTTCAACCGTTGCATTTTGTCTCTGACTTCATAACCAAATCTTCTTTTGAATTATTTAATTATGAGTTTTTGAAGATGTCAGAAACAGGTTGTATGGGTAAAAACATGCTGATTTAGGCAGCTTTGACGCTAAATTTGAGCTTTTTTAATCATCAGCGTTAAGGATTTGAACTGAAAGAAAATAGCTATTGTGCTTTTTGAACTTTTCCTTCCATTTTGAAGCATTTTGGATGATTATTTTGATCGTAATGACAATATGTTCTCCATTTTCATAGTTTCATTGTTCAATTAAACCAATAGTTTCCAAGTTTGACTGATAAAGTATTGATTAGATTTGAGAAAAATAGGCTCCCATTTTATTTCATGGATGTCTGTTTTTATCGAATAATTGGCTAATTTTTACTTGATGGCAATATTCTTCGTATTTATTTCATGAAGTTCCATGACAATGAAATAACCTCTTTGTCGTAGGTTTGAAAACTCCAAATGGTTTCTAAAAGCCTTGTAACAATTTCATCATCCATTTTGCTCGAAATGGTTTTCCTGCTGTTATTGTCCTCGAGATTTGGCTGAGAATCACTTGCTGAAGTTTGAGGTAAAAGATCAAACTCTTTTATTGGCCTTCATATTTGATAAAATTTTGAGTTGTTTTATAAATCTTAGCTTGTTGTTTCCATATGATGAATCATAAATGTGCTTTATTTCATTGATTCCTTTCTTTTGTTGTCTTAGGGTCATAAAACTCCATATCTTATAAATTGAAAAGCAAATTGCATTGCACACTAATTTTATGTGAAAAATATTTAAAATTATATTAGGAAATAATTTATTCATGTTAGACGTTATGAGAATTAGATTTATTTATTTGGATTAGGTTTATTTCTTTTGATTGGATTTATTTCCTTTCCTATTTTACAGCGTTCCCTTTATCTCCAAACAATTATTATGAATTGATTTATTCGAGATAAAGGTGTTATATATTTCCTTTCATGTTATTTACTTTTCTTGTCTTTTCTATTCTAGGATTCGAGTAAAGATATTTATATCTTATTTTCATATCATTAAAATAATTTCGCTGAATTCTGAAAATTAACATGGTATCAGAGCTTTGAAAGAAATCCTAGAGTTTTCTGCCACCTGAAACTTCCTATTATCTGCAGTTGGCGTTCTTTGTCGTGCTGCAGACCCTTCATTTGCCTCATTTTTCAATTTTTTCCACAGGAAACTTCCTCTCCCTGCAGAGCCGGCCGCCACATTTTCCTTCTGCAACCTTTCCCGCCATTGGAATTTCCTCCCGCAGCTTTCTGGTCGCTGAAATTCCTCCTGCAGCCAACCAGGCCATCCCAATGGAGTTATTTGTAACTGTAGAAGGCTGTGCCCGATGATGCAGAAGAGCGGCGATACGCGTGCAAGATTGG